TGTCATGTCGGTTATCCAAGTTCCGTATTCCTTAAGAGCTGACAAGACAAGAATTGAGCACACAAGATCCTCAATGTCCCTGTGTCATGAAAAAAAAATCACATAATAAAGAGCAACATAGTTTTTGGAAACCTGTTAAGTTCAAGGTCACAAATCTGTAAAATAGCACAACGGCTGAATGTTGGATAACCCATGAGTTTTTAAAACTTTTTAAACCTTCATTTTAATGAAGTTTAAAAATATCCAGGGTAGCTCCGGTAGCTCAGTTGGGTAAAAGTCTGACTTCAGCTCAGGTCATGATCTCATGGTTTGTGAGTTCTAGACCGGCATCGGGCTCTGTGCTGACAGCTCAGAGCCTAGAGCCCGCTTTGGATTCTGTGTCTCCTTCTTCTCTGCCCCTCCCCTGCTTGTGCTCTCTCACTCTCTCTCTCTTTCAGAAATAAACATTAAAAACATTTTTAAAAGTAAAGGAATTAGCTAGAGAATGGAGTTATACAACATTATGTACATGAACAAGGTTGTCTTTGGTTAGGTAAAAGTGTTTAAAATACTTCTCTCAGTCCTATTAAAAATTTGTATATCTTTAAATGTACTAAAACTTGAGTTGGTTTATATATACGCATTTCATTCTAAAAACTTAATACAAAGTTCCAGGGTATCAATATCAAATTGTTGTTATTTTGAAGTAGAGCTAAACAAGCAGGTTTCCCCATATATGTTCTAAATTGCAGAATCTTAGAATGGCTCGGAACCTGAGGTCATTGGCTTGCATTTCCCACCTGCTAGGATAAATACTAGGGATACATGCATCACGTGTCTTCTAGTCTCTATTTGAAGAAGTTCATAGGCAGAGAAGCCGGTGCTCCCCATTAGCATGAATGACTCAGGGTTTGGAGTATTTACTAATGTTAGTCACTGGGCTAAGTGCTTCTCTAATGTTGTAAAATAATTCTGTGAGGTAATAATATCTAGTTTCACAGACAAAGAAACTGAATGTCAGTGGAGACGAAGTAACTTGCTCGTGTTCATTCTGTGACTAACTGATAGTGTCAGGTCTGTTGGCACAAAGGTGGTGTGTTTTAGACACGATAATATATCGTGTGACAAATTTACTCTCATTTACATGATTTCTCTCCATGTATTCTAAGATAACCACTTGAGGCTTTCTTTCCCCTCCCACAAACATTTATATAGACAATCCTGCTTCTCATCTTACTCTTTATTACCCTTCTGGTTCCCTTTTCCAGGGATGACACAAAGCAAGCAATGTGATTGTAGGGAACAAGTAACCTTTTCCACACTGTAGTTTACTCTAAACAACTGTAATACTAATTTGTAAAATTTCAAACAGTACAAAAATACATAGGGTAGATAAATGCCAGTCCTTCTCTATGCCCTGTATTCAACTCTATGTAGTTATCAGGCTTTGTCATATCCTTCCATTTCTTTATTCCGTTTTCTTACCCGAAGCAAATACGGGAAGTTCTTGCTCCAAACATATTGTAACGTGCCCAGTTTCAGTGACAACAATTTAAGCAACACCACTCCCTCAAGGACATAGTTCTAATTTCAGTTGCACAGCATATTAACTGTAATTACCGAAGTACAAACTTCACCGTTAGCTCCTCAGTCCATAAATCACTGCGTAATAACAGACGTGCCCCATGATCAGTGGCTAATAATGCCACTACTTCCAAAGTCTGCTGGTGACTGGTCACTGTGCGTGATATTCAGTTTATGCACAGACAGCAGAGTGTGTAGTTGTGGCGACTTCTTGTTTCCTAGTGATAAAGCCACGTGACATTTTACAAAAATGGGTAGCCAACAGAGGGAAAGACAAAGTATACAGCAAAGAAACAAAGCGTGAACACACTGAAATGACATTTGAGTTGAATGTAGATGGAGCCGTACAGGCAGTAACTGGTCTTGGGAATGCTGTTGCCCTTCGATAGACTCGTCGCGCACTCAGGGAAACTGAGTGAGGGCGACCTTGATGTACATGAGGAAAGTGGCTTTGATGAGAAGGATGATGGCGTCCCAGAGGAAATGATGATAGAACAAGAACAAAGCTTCACATTAAAGAAACTGTAGGAGACAGAGCATAGCACTGAAAGCATGGATGAAAATGTTGGGAGCTGATTCAAACTTAGAAAGGCCTATGACAATTTGCCTTTGAGAAAAACGCTTGCTGTGTATCATCATTTATAATATTTACTACAGTGTGCTAAATTTTAGCTTTATTATTTTTTCATTGTCCTCATACTTCCATAATTGACACTGAGAGTTTTTAATATTTTATCATTTTTAAAGGTCATGAAACAGTCCTATCTTCTCTCATTGACTATTAAGATTTCTTTGCACAGTTTCAGACTGCATGGTCCTCTTGTGGTCTTGCATTAACTGTGCAAAGTCAAATGTATCAGCAAATCCTCTTGGTTTCACCTCCAGAATGTCTCAGATTTATCCACTTCTCCCCTACTCGCCCAATTCATAATTAGCCTTTTCCTGCTTGGACTAGTAAATTAATAGCTTCCTACTTCTCTCCCTGCCCCATTCCTCAGAATCCATTTTTCACTTAGCAGCCAGAGGGATCTTTTAAAATAGATTTAGGGTTTCCCTATCTAAAAGCCCATGACGGCTTCTATTCAAACTCTGAATAATTAGAACTCACGTTGCTCAAAATGTGCTTGCTGCCTATCCTTTGACTTTACTTCCATCCCTCTGGCCCCTGTTCAGGGCAGCAAGTTTGTACCAGCCTCATTGCCCTTTGCTTTTAATGAAATGTAGGGACATAAAATAGTATCCACTGTAATCCTTGGTTCTTCACGCTCAATAAAAACTCCTGAAACCACTGCCCAACCTACAAGCTGGACTCATGTCGAATGGTCACCTTCATCTCATCTCTCTGCTTCCTTGTATCCAAGGTTAACCACCATTCTTAATCTGGTAGTTATTATTTCCAAGTTTTTCTTTTTAAAATAATTTTAACTTCTCTCTATGTATATACCTAACGTATATTTAGTTGTTTAAAATTTTATAGAAAAGTCATTATGTTGAGTGGAATCTTTTGGGGCTCTCTCCCCCACCCCCTAGCTGACTTTGATGGACTCTTCTGACGATGGTTATCTAAGTTTTGCTGAACCCGGTGCTATGAGCTCTCCAGCACATGCATCCTGCGTGGCCTATGGCACTCACTCCGTGGAAGTATCTAGGGGTCCTAACGCCCAGAAACAGATTCATGCATGCACAGAGCTTTGGCATATGGTATAGGGAGCATGTCATGTCAGTAAGAGAATGTTTTGCAATAAAAATAGGAAACATGTTTATTCATATAGAAATCACCACCACTGGATTTCTATTCCATATATATACATACATACACACATACATACACACACACACATGCTAGAGGAATTAAGGACTTAAATGCTTAAAAATGCACAAAACTTGGGGCACCTGCATGGCTCAGTTGGTTGAGCGTCTGCCTCTGTGATTTTGGCTCAGGTCAGGATCCCACGGTTTGTGTGTTTGAGCCCCATGGTGGGCTCTGCGCTGCCAGTGTGGCAGCTTGTTTGGGATTCTCTCTGCCTTTCTCTGCACCACCCCAACCAAATAAATAAACTTGAAAAAGATACACAAAACTCAAAACCTAAAAACTTTATGAGTCTTAGCAGAAAGCATATTATCATTTATCACTCAGGAGAATAGTTTTTTAAATGAGACACAAAAAATTTTGACTAAATTTATAAACTTTTTTTTTTTCTCCAGCAAAAGGCACCTTAATGAAAATGAAAAGGTAAGCTACTTGGGGAGAGTATTTGCAATCATGCACTATCACAACTGGTATAATGTTTACATGACAGTAAGCACATAGAAAACAGAAAAATGGGCAAGAGACACAAAGAGGCATTTTTTTTTTCCTATGGAAGAGGAAATATATATGGCCAATTAAGAAAATGTTCTACTTTGCTGATGGTCCTGGTGATAGAAATCAACATCACGATGACCTATCATCTGACCTTTGTGAGGACAAAATTCAAGTCTGTCAATTCAGTGTGGGAGGGAATGTGGAATCAGTGGCTCTCACAGTCTTTGCCACAAGAGTAAATTGGTAGAACCACTTTGGGAAAAAGTGGCCTCCATGGCTTCTGCACTTTCTGCAGGTGGATGTGTGATTGGCTATGTTCAAGTTCAGTGTGAGGCCTTTTCTCTCTCATTTAACTTGTCTTAGAAATTACCCCTTTTGGTTTATTTATTCACTCTTATCTCTCCTTTCAACTACAAGACAAGCTCTAGAGTGAGGACCTTGTCTAATCTGTTCATCACTGGAGCTGGAGCACAGGATCAGAGGTGCTCAGTTAAGTGGCCAAATGGATGGATCTGCATTTGATTTAGCATCTTTTTATTGTTCTCTTTTATGAACTGTGTGCTTGCATTCTTTGCCTGTTTCCTATCTTGGGTAACTTTCTCTTATTAGTTCAATGGAGCTCCTCACATATTATAATGATTAGTTTTATGACCAATTTTGTTTTGCAATACTTTGTTTTTCATTTTAACTTTTCATTTCTGTTCTCATTTATTATACAGATGCTTACAATTTTTATGTAGTCCTAAATATCAATCTTTCCCATTATTCCTTTTGGGTTTTAGGTCCTACTTAGAAATGCCATCCCCACCCCGACACTATATTCTTTCATTTTCAACTTTTATGCTGCCATTAATTCCTTTCAAATTCTGTATACAGTGTTAAGTAGAGATTTTTTTCTTTACAAATGTTCCCAAGACCATTTACTGATCACCTTTCCTAAACGTATTTTTTAAGATTTTTAATTAATGTAATTATGATTTTATTTTCATTATTTGCAGTTTTTTAAAAATTAAGTATTATGCTCATTTCCCCCAAAGTTCCGGTCATAAACCATGAATTATAGGCTTTTAATCAGTAAAATTATCTCATGATCTACTTAAAACAGAAAGCATATTAAAAACAGAAACATGGCTTTAGAGAGAAAATATTTAATCTATTTCATGAAAAAAAACTGTGCAAAGTTTTAGAAAAGAGGCATTAGGTTTCAGTATAGAGTATAAATACATTCTTGCTTTTGTAACCACACGCATTACACATCGTTCGGGTTGGTAGTGAAGGCTGTTGCGCACACTCATTCCAAATGGTCTTCTGTTAACACATGCGCTGGAAAGCGTCACTGAAAACAGTCAGGAGATAGATGCAGAAATACAATGTTATATAAAAATATATTAATCTGCCTACATGAAACACTTAAAAAAGCAGACCACAACCATTTTTAGAATTAGAGTATGGACGGAAATATCAATATGTGAAGTTCTAAATTGGATTTTCATTGCATTTTTATCTCTGGAGAAAAAAATAAGCAAACCTTTGGAATGACAGATACGAAGTCAGCACAGCAGACCAACTCTATTTTCAAAAATAAAAACACAACCTTATCCACACAAAAGATGGGAGAGTCTGAGTCTCTAAAATTTGACAAATTGATGAAATGTTACAATTTGGAAATCTGTTTTATACATATATATCTCAAGCACACAGCAAACTTTGATTTGTCCACAAACCACATGTAATTACAGCAATGAAAGTATTTCTAAACTGGTTCTCAATGCACCCTTAACAGAATTTCAAACTTAAAAAAAATATTAACCTATGTAAAATACAACTAGGAAGGTATGTATACTGCAAACTAGAGAGAAATTAATCTTAAAATCACCAGGGGGTACTGTTCTGCTCTGGAAACCGAGATATTATTAGGAATTCTAGAAAAAACACTTTACCACAACAAAACCTTTCTGCTGCAGAACCATAGCTCCTCACGGAAACTTCTACAGAAACTACCATTGTTTTTAAAGAGAGGGAAGACTAAGGTGTGGAGAGGAAGTGGAAGTATATATTTTACAGGTAAATTTGGGTGATGAGTATTGGAGGCATGCATGGACAAGACATTTCAACTCTATACAAGCAAGACCTTGTTAGTTTTGAACAGCATAATGAACAAAACAGGCAGCTCGTCCTGTCCATACTCACAGAATGATTGTAATTCTGGCGGGGTTAAGAATAATGACCACAGGGGGGGGAAAAAAAAAAAGGAATAATGATCACAGATTCTAACAATAGAAGATTGTTACATGGCAGAGTCCTTCTACATTTTGAGAAAGGAACATGTCTATTTTTATCCTTCATTACCATAATGTATCAACTACTGTTTTGCTCTCTATTTTAGAAGATATTTATCATGAGCACAGCACACCAAAGAGTCATAAAAATACTGTTTAAACTGGGCATATTTAATCTGAAGGCTTCCCCCCCATTTCTCAGCATTATGAGGTCTCATTTCACTTTATTTCAAATGTAAGTATGTAACCAAGCATATTAAAAACAAAGGCAATACATTATGTTTGTCCATGTAACTCATAGTTCCAAGTTTTTAAACATTAACAAATTTTGCTGACCTCCGTGTCACCGAAAACCGGCAGGTCTGTTAGTTGCTCTAGAAGAGGAAGGAATTCATACCATGCCCTGGAAGCCACAAAAAGGTCCGAGTATATGGTTGTTTAGCGATCATTTGTGCTTGTTTAGTGTTTCTTAGCACATGGCTGCTGGTAGAGGCAGGGAGGCATATTTGGAAACACTTGTGATTCTTTTTGGCTGGGGCTTTCGACAGAACAAAATGCTCTTTGGTGTACCTGTAAGTGCCATGCCTTGAAGGGGGACACCCCAGACAAAGGACAACTCTAATTAGGCAAACATTCCACAACCAGGATCTAGAGTTTTCACCATTCAACTCTAACCTTTGAAAATAATGAAACCCAATGAGCACACTAGGAAATAGAAGGGTGGCAATCGGAAAAGCTGCCTCGCGCTGCCTCCTGGCCCACTGTGCCCAGGCCTTGGCTGGTCAGACCGGCTGCCGGGAAGCCAGAAGCAGCCAGTGAACGTGTAGGTCTGATGTGCAAAAGGGCCAAGGTTGGCTGTCAATGAACACATGTAGACAGATCGGTAAGCCCCTGATTTATAACACTATTCTTTATGTTACCCTATTGCCAAGAAAATGGGGAAAACAAACTTAATTATTCAGGACAAAATAGAGATTTATGGTTGGTGTGAATTCTTCATTTAAATAAACTATGTCTCTGCCACAGGAGGAAGAGGAGGAAATCTTGGCGATTAATGGTGAATTCTACTTCTAAGGCAGGACACGGTAACTACCTTGTAAGTTTTACATTTCCGTATGGGTTTCAGGAGTGAGATTTTGTTATAATGAACAAGTTCTAATAATTTAAATTTGCAAACTATTTAATGGAAAGATGTTTATAATCTTGTTCCTGGATGATTATTGAGTCACAGTGGTAACATTTTACTCCATCCGTTGAGTACCTAATGCTAGAAGAGGTTTACTGTAATAAAACCCCATGTATTTGAGTCACTGGAGTGGGGGCGGGGGAGGAGGTCTTACATACCAGTGTCATTTATGAAGCGAGTAAGCAGAGAACTTTATGTGTTAACAAGACTGGCCAAATACTATGTATGCTTCTAGAACTTGCTTTGGTTATTAAAATGTTCTTAAATATGGCTAAGATTCTTAGGTTGTTAGACAGTCCTGTTCTAAGAATTAAGTTATTCTTATGACAAGGTCCTATAATTACCTTTTGAAGACCAATTAAAATAGCATTGTTGGAGCTAACATTGAAAATCTACTTAATTCCTTAATACATCCATCTGCCAAGAAAAATCCTGGATAACATCTGAATTTAAGAAAGAATAGTACATAAAATTTTTTGGGGAAACAAAAGTATACAGACCGTTCCAGCCATGAAGGATAAGAACGTATAATGAAAAGTCAAAAACTAATACAGTTAAATGGATTTAAGTTAAATTTCAAAAACAATCATCACTAGGACTTTTTGGATTCTTTAGATTGACTATTATTTAGTATATATTTAAAAGCTTCATGTTTTTTAAAAAATTAACTTTTGAGAGGCAATTTAACATGGTAGTTCAGCCAACTCATCCAGGCCTGGCCACTTCCTAAATGCGGGAGTTTGAACATACTGGTGGAAAGGCTTATCACTCTTCTGTTTCAGTTTCCTCGACAGGGAAATAAGGAAAATTGTACCTCTCTCAGAAGGCTGTTATGAAGATTAAATGAGTTAATACATAAAAAGCACTTAGAAAAGTGACAGGCACATATTAAGCACTCAATATATTCGGCTATTTAATTTACTCTATGTAAATACTACAAAGGCTTAAGAAAGCATTCACAGAAGCAAGTACTCTAAATTCTGCAGTCTGTCTTCACTCTACATCTGGGAGTAGAGGTAGGAATTAGGAGACTGTATTAAAATAAAAGACAGATCACTCACTATTCACCTTGTTAGTCATTCCACGAAATTGGTCCAGCGACAGCCTGGGCCAGGCACCACTCCAGTGTCTAACATTATTCTCAGAGCTTGAGATATGGTCACCAATGTTCTAGAGCCATTTTCTCATCTGTAAAATGGACGTAACATCTATTTGTCTGACTCATAGGTTACTTTGAAGCTCAATGAGGCAAAATGCATGAAGGCACTTTGAAGATTTTGTAGAGCACCATCCGAGTGTATTAACAGGAATGGGGTGCAGGGTGAGTATGCGTGGACCCTCTCAGAGGAAGATATTACTTGCAATTCTGGGTTTAAGAAAATTTTCATAAAACTGTAGGTTTCTAACTCTAACATCATTTATAAATAGTAACATATTTTATTATAAAACTGTGTTTCTCTTATTGGGTCCCAACTCTCTGGAGAGTATTAACATATCAAATAGATGGTTGAGAAATATTTTCCTTTAGAAACTGCCATTGCAAAGAAAATGTCAAGCTAGATATTATGGTCATAAATTATCATTATTAACTAATAAGTAGCAGTTCCATTAATTACTAAATGCTTTGCAAACATTATTTCATTGAATCCTTATAGCGACCCCATAAAACAGAGCGGCCCCATTTTACACAGTTAGAATCCGAAAGCCTACAAAACACATGCACTTTAACCTCTGCACAATAAAATCACAAGAAAAAGTCCTAATCATTTCTGTCTTCACCAAATCACATACTTAAGAGAACCAATAGATCAAATCATTCCAAATTATGTTCTGATCATTGCAATAAAGGTGATTTTAAAAGTTACACCAGTGCTTACAATTCAGGTTCCTTTAAATTCAGTATCACTTTACATCTTCAAAAAAATCTTTTTTTTCCCCTGAAAATAACACATTGTTCACTGAAAAGAAACTACAAGTAGAATTAAAATATTTATAATTTCATCATTCAGGAAAACTACCGTTGACATAGTTCCTCTCCAGATATTTTTATGCAGTTGTGAACTATGGGATTTAGTTTTTGATGACTGTTTCTAAACATGATACCAAATACAAGGGCCACACTGAAGTCTTTTTAATTGGCAGACATAATAAATCATAAATTTTGTGCATGCAGAAAATTATTACAGATATCCATTTTCAGTATTTTCCTAACATTTCCAACCATGGAAAAAGCAGCAGAGACTTATTTTGGTAATACTAACCAAAAGAACACTGCCCATAAGAGAAACTTAGATGGGAAGTTTTTGACTGTGTTAAAGATTTATAGCTTTCTGCAGATCTAATAATACTATGACTATAGTATTAATTAGAAGTTAAGGAGAAAATTGTTTTGTAGTCATTGAACTTTGCCAGAATTACACTTGTGGGTGATTCAACTGTAAAGTTTTTCCTTGTGAATAGGTTAAATATTTGCTTGAGGCAGCATATTTAAGATAAGCTAAGTTCTTTTCAGGGAACCTATTACTCCTGAGTATAAATTCAGGAAAAAAAAAAAAGTTTCACTACTTGTGAAATAATATCCCAGAGTGTGATGGAAAAAATAGTGACAAAACTGCACAATAATTTAGGGCAAAGACCCCAGGTACTGAGTCAAAGTGTGTGTGATGCCACATTACTGGCACTTCGATTAAGGTGACTTATACTGAAATCTGACTCTTTTTAAACTATCACTGGGCATAATTTATAACAGAAAAGCAAAAGTTAAAAAAACATGCAAGTCCTTACAGAAAACAGAAGGCAGAAAAGGATCAAGAAGTTTTTAAAAATAAACTTTCTAGTGCTTCCTCTTATGTAAGAGGTTTATGTTAGTCATAAATTCTAGGAACCTATTTATACTGCTTTAGTAGGATTCCTAAAAAAATCATACTAAATCCACATAAATAATATTTTTAATGTAAAAAGTAGTGCATACTGGTGACTAAGAATAAGAATGTTCAATAAAACTGTACTTTGAAAGAAAAGTATAAGCTTAATCCTAACTGAAAACTGTCTAGACAAAAGGAATATTAATAGATTCTAAGAGATAACATAATACATATGTGTTTGTGTATTATACTGAAAAATTAATTATCAGGTATTTCTGAATTAGGATAAAACCGTATATACTTCTTTCCCAGGGAGTGAAAACGTTTATGTCTTTAAATAGGAAAAGATTAAGCCAACATATTCTTATTATGTCCAAATGGAAATGAAAAGTATAATATTTCAAATGAGATTAAAACAGGACTTCAGCCTATTTTTCATAAAAGAGAATATTAATGTTATTCATCCCTTTCACACAGAATGCTTTTTATGGAAAGAAAAGGTTTATGAGGTAATTACATAATAATTTTAAACAAGATTCCTTTTAATTTTACATTTATGCTTCTCTTTAAAAATAGCTTTAGCAGTTTACAAATTAAATCCAAACCATGACTTTGCATTTCCTTACTTCAGAGATTTAGAGAACCTCACTAAATGAAGCTATTATGTTCAAAACTGTATTTCAGAAAGAAAAATGGGCAAATGATGGTACTCTAAAGATTTGTTTCTGAAGGAGGGAAAAGCATATTATGTCATCTTGCCTATAAAGATTTTTTGGGGAAATATAGTTTATACCTTGCATTTTCAAAATCCTGTACACTGATTAAATCACAAACATACTGAATCAGTTATAGTAAAAACAAGAATAGGCTTTTAAATAGTTATAAAGGGAAATTATGATAAGAAAAAAAACATTCCATATCTTCTACTGACAAATTTCTTTTGGGGTTAAAAGCCACCCCAATGTCATTAAATCACTATATGTTTCAGCCCTAATATTTTAAAGAGTAATAAATATATATACATATTAATAGGATGAAAGTGCTTCACACTAAAACTTTCCTTGAAGGCTTAAAAGTGATTTTTAAAAACATCACAATAAATGATCATCATTTAATAAAGTTCTGAAATATGGGAACCAAAAAACCCCAAATGCAACGAATCTGCATATTTTCACGCTTACAAGTGAAATTTAAACCTCTGAGAAAATGTTTATATCCATTTACTCAGATTCACCCGTCACAATTTATTCTTTATCATAAATAGTATCCCGGATAGTAATATGTCCCAAAGTCCCTTTCTCCTTGTGAGTTCTAGTATTTCTGAGGACTCACTTATCATCTGATAAGACTGCATTCATTCAGAAAAAAGTTAAGGAATTGAGTCAGTACATCTTTAGACATCTTTTTCTGTATAGAGTTATAAGGCATTAATAACAGTATGTTATCATAGCAAATAATTTATAATAAAAAATAGAAATTCTCTTTTAAATTGCTCTCAAATGAGAGAATCACAGAGGAGAACAAAGAACATATCGACCACCCTGATAACTCTTTAAGCTTCTACTGTGACATGAAGACTTTTTTTTGTTGTTGTTTGTTTGGCTTAAAACCGACCTTAGGCCCTGAATGGCAGGTGTCCTGATACCAACACGTGGACTAGATCTCAGGTTCTGTTTAAAGTTACTGTGAAACGTATATATTTAAATGTGCTATTCACTACTAATAAAAATAGAAAAAGTTAGTTAAAATATTTGGTTTCACTATTGTTATCAGTATTCATTGCAAATTACTGTCATGATAATAGTCTAGACTATAGTGTGGACTTAAGTTTTGTGCCAAATAGCACAGATTACAAAATCGTGGTTCAAATGATGGTCAACGATTTCTCTGGTACACAGCCAGAAGGAAGGGATTGGTTTCTAACAGATAAGTAAATATGGAGCATAGCTTTACGTTAGTATCAGTTGCTAGAACTGAGCACTGAGTCTCTTGGTATCCAGAGGCAGAAATAAAGCTGCGTTTCGTAAGGTACAGTGGCTGGGAGGACGGGGGACAGTGGCTCTGGTGACTGGGTAGCTAGCTGGCTTGCTAAAATACATACGCGAGCTCGACTGGCGTCATGCACCCTTGCTGCGCACTGGTGATCTGTAAAGGCTGACTGAACATAATTCCCTTCATCATACAGGCACTGCTGTCTGCGCTACAGTAATAAAGAAACACGCTGATAGACAGAACGGCTTCAAGTGATAGGCAATCTCCAGGAATCTGCAGGGAGATGGCTGGTTGACTGGAAATGCTCTCAATTACTCCAGAGGGTATCTGTCCTTGAAGAAGCCATTCATTGCCTAGAAAATAAAACCATAAATTACCAAGACTGTGTAAGACATCATGTAGGAAATCAGACAAACCTTACAAAGACTAGATTCAATCAACAGATATTTACTGAAAGCCTCTAAGTGTGAGGCATTATGCTCTGCGTGAACGACATAAATAAGATATAATGGCCACCCACGAGGTGTTCCCAGTCTAGTGATCTCGATATCAAATTATTAAAATTCTTCCTCTGAACACCATAATTTATAAATTTCTACTGAAATCAGACTGAATAATGAAAATCTGGCTATAGAGTCTTAATCCTTGAAATTAAAAGTGAAACCTATTAAGTTCTAGAAATTAACATAAATAGGTCATTTTTACCAGGTAAAAATGTTCGGGAATATCATGAAAACTACAAAATAAATGAGGGTATACAAATATGTGTACAACTCTGTGGTGACTCTCAAGTCCTTTAAGTAATGATGAATTCTTAAATATCCAAAAGTAAAAACCAAATAATTTTTAGAAACAAGAAACACTGTATATATTATTCAGATGATTCAGATGATTCTATCTACCTCATTTTAATACATAACTCTTCTGAGACTTAACTGCGTAGATTATAACACAAGTCTAATAAGCCATTAACAATCTTTAAGCTTCTAGTATCAGAATTGTTAAGATGTCTTTATTCATGAGTGCCTCCTCTCAGAAGGAATGTCCGTGTCCTACTGAGGAAGCACACATGTACATGGACTTTCAGCTTAAAGAGGGGTTAGACACCTAGAGCCAGCATTTGGAAAACACATGCCATGCTTTCCCGCCGATTTACATGGAAAACACCGAACAGCATCTCATGACTTCTCACTGACGTGGGCCATTTGCACAAAAGCCAGACCACCTACTGAGTGGTGATGAAATTCTAGGTCTACTTTTTAGCTTCTTTCTTTCTTTTCACTTCAAAATGAGCCAACAGACTCTGGGCACCTGCTTATATTAGGCTGCTCAGTCTCTCTTCTAGTGTATTGCTTCTAGTTCTCTGTTGATTGAAAAATTGTATTTGAGAAACAGAAGGTCAAAGAAAGAGGAAGGAGAAGGTGAAAGGTGAAAATCTAAAGAGTTAAGAGCTTTTAAATCATTATTTAAAAATTCTCTTTAAAATTCTTCAGTCGTCTTTGCTTATTTCTGTATTGGGGAATATGTTTTATTTAATGTTAGGCTTCGCTAGATGGCAGGTTACTGGAGCACTTCTTATACTTTAAATCAAAACAGGGATAAACTGTGCTACTTTAATATCCAATTCTAGAAATAAAACACAAAGTTTCCTTAGTATTTTTCAGATACATTATGTGTGGGGAGAATTGTAAAGTTATAATATGCTAATGGTGCTTTTATACTGACTTTTTTTGGGGAGGGGAGGACAACCTTATACAGACCACAGTTAAAAATGGGTATTTTAAGTCTCTAAATAATTGGTCGAGAAGAAAAGCTTTCCTTTATTCATAGGTGTATAAATGTACCCTATAAAATAATTATCAAAACCCTTAGATTATTAGGACTCTAGTCTGAAAGCTTATTTGCCCCTGCACAATAAAAACAAAGCCACTACTTTGGACAAGTGATAAAACAGGAATTTTCTCTACAGACTACTTCACTCTAATACTATCTGTATTTTATATTCCAGTGGCTCATTATTAATCTGTGTGTTTGACCAAGTAGACCTACAAATGTTAATTTGTCAGTAACATATTTTACAAGTTAATCTACTGCTCTTTAATTTCACACACAGATGAAACTAATAATGGTCTCCAATCGATGCACTGCTTTCAGACTAACAGCCGCAGGCCCAGCAGTGAGGCCCACAGTCAGGACCTGCTTGAAATCCACGGACAACCGAGGTATGGCCAGGGTTTGAGTGCATCCTGGTCACAAAGCTGGCTCTGAACACCCTCCACGCCTGCAGAGCTCAGCGCTCTCCCTTGTGGGGGGCGGGGTGGTTGGTCTCCCACAGCTCAGCTGGCCACCCCAGAGCCAGCCTCCCCAACTCTGGCCCAGCAGTTCCTCCCGGCTGGCCCACCGAGATCTCTGTTCTCTCGGTTCAGATGCCCAGCACGTGGCTGCTGCCCTGGGAAAGCAGGAAGGTAAGGAGGCAGAGAGCCTGGGTCTGGGTCAGGCACACAAGAAGTGTGTGAGAGGGCGTGAGGGAGGAGGCGGGAGGAAATGGGAGACTGAGAACATGTGAAAGAGCGTGGGAGAGCAGGGCAGAGGAAGGTCAGTAGAGACAAGAAGTCAGCACTTGGTTCTGGACCACTAATGTTTTATTTTAAAGTTGTTGTCCACTGTTAGTGGGGCTGGAAAGCACTGCTATAAGGCAAGCGGCAGGCTGAGTCCTTCTTATAAATTAATGAGGAGCACACAGGGATTCAAACACACACTCAAATCTTTACACAATTTACAGTCACTGGGGATACTTTGAGAATAGATGTGAGCAGGAAGTGCTCTTAGCTTACACAACTACAAATTAGTGAGTAAGGACAAAAGCTCTGCCCGGGTGCCGATCACAGTAATTCACCTGTATTCAATTACATATCCTCCAACAAGGTTTTATTCTGCTACTTGAAGGGCATTACTTTGAAGATACGGTTTTGGCATCCTTCTTATAGCAAGCAAGTAATCGGGCTCAAGTTCTACCTCTGGCATCTCTGAAGAAGAAAATGTAGCTTCAGGCTTAGTAACTGGTAAATCCAGTCTTAATGATCCTTTTGAAATAAAATGAACAGCAATTGAAAAGCTCTAAAGCACCTAAAAGATGCTATCTGGAAAAGTAAAAGATAATAGTAAAACCACCAAAGAATGGAACTGGAAAAAGTCCAAGTCAAGTTACTTCAGTTAAAGTAGTATGTTTTTAAAAATATCATATTCCACCAGGGAGGAAGTCAATTTCATTCTTTAGAATAGAATCTGAGATTTATATCACTGTATTACTGGAAGGTAGAACGGTAAACATGATTTCATACTGGAATATTTCCAAGATTATTCTCATACCTTCAGCTGTTAGAAACCAACAACTGGGTACTCCTTCAGTTAACTTTGTTCCTGAGGGGAGGTCTAATCTTAGCTTGAACTGCAGAGTCTGGCCTGGAGATGCAGCCACTGGTGAAAGTCTAATGTTTGGAGCAGATTTAGGTAGTTTGGGTAATGTCTTCTGTTTTTCTCCTAGGAATGGGCCATCTACAACAGCGTTTTCAGATCTGAAGACTGGAAGCTAGGAAATAAGGAAATCTGTTAATTAAAACACAACTACTTTATAGTAATTATAGAGAGCTTAATTTTGGATCTCAGTAGAAAAATGAGGTTGTGTGTCAATGAAACTTAATTGCCATTCTAGTCTGAATTAGAAATGTGCTTCCTTAGACGTCCTTATGATTATTTTGTAGGCTGAGAAACATATTTCATCCTGGCAAAAAACGTTACCAATATTAATGAATGAAACAGAATTAAGTTCATTGTCTGATATGTTAATAGATGGTAGGAAATTAAAATGTTATCAATTTAAATGTAGGGGAGATAATTCCAATTACAATTTTCACTGCCAACTATAAGATGACCTATGTCAGGAGAAATGACACTTATGTTATGATGGTAGTCTGTATTTTTACTTTAAATCTTGGGAAGCTAAAACCCTAGAATTTTAGGAAGAAAAACTCTTGCATTTTTTTTTCAGGCAAATGTTACGTATCAGGAGGTAGCTTGAAAAATTTTGGAGACTATAGCTTTATCTTTAAAAAATTGGAAAGGGGCGCCTGGGTGGCTCAGTCGGTTAAACATCCAACTTTGGCTCAGCTCATGGTCTCATGGTTCATGGGTTTGAGCCCTGCATCGGGCTCTGTGCTGACAGCCAGCTCAGAGCCTAGAGCCTGTCTCAGATTCTGTATCTCCCTCTCTGTGACCCTCCCCTGTTCATGCTATCTCTCTCTCTCTCTCAGAAATAAATAAAACATAAAAAAAATTGGAAGAAACTTAAATGAGTTCTAATCAATCTTATGTTCAATGTGTTGAGAAATGTGGCTGCTGGAGTTTCCTTTGGGAGGTTATTTGCTAACAATTCACCATAGGAAACAAAGACTACATGATGATTTAAGAATCATTAAAAAAAAAAAACAAACCTCAAAACACCTTGACAATCCACGCGATACGTGTGTGTTATGTATCTTTATACATTCTGTTTTTAGACATTTAAACACAGATCTGAGTCCTCTTTTCTCCTTTTCTGAAAGTTCAAAATGTCTCCAGCTTCTAGTATCTTAAACATTCTCGGAGCAAACAGAAGTTTTATTTTAACGGGAACAGAGCATTCCTGAACTAGGCGTTAACTCACTACTCTACCTGTTTTACCGCCAACACTGGAGAGGGTTTAGCCACAAGTGACTGTGCTGTGAGGACTTCAGTATGATTCTTAAAATGATACTCTTCAACTTCTATTTCCCATTGCTTACCACAGATATCGTTCTTGTTTCTAACTCCATCACTTTAATTTGATGATTATTGGTGTCCGCTACATATAATAACTGGCCATTCTCTCCAATACACAAGCCTCCTGGTTCATTAAAAGTTGACTCAGTAAAGCTGGAAGTGATAACATTACTTGCGTCTCCAGTTCCTGCTAATGTTGTACAGTTTTTTGTTTTGGGATCCACAACTTTGATCTAAAAAGAAAGAACAAAGAAGTATGTATTTGAAGGTCAATCTCCTGTTTGTAGTAAGGAAAAGTGTAGGATCAAGCAAACCAGAGGATTTGATTGCCATTAGCATTCCTGCTAAATGTCAGAAAAAGGATAGGCATTTCCATGTTTTCTTGAAAAGCCAAACATTCAAATTACAGCCTCGGGGGAGACGCTCCATTCTGAGAGCTAAAAACTACGTAAAACTCCCAGTTACATCTTATCTTCTAGCAGCAATCTTTGATGAAATTATTTCTGGAATTAAAAATTAAATTCTTTTCCTCACAGTGAGACACAGTTGAACTGACTTTCTTCTTTCTCACGAGCATCTAACCCTGGCTGAGAATTGGCTGCTTATGTTAGACCTAATGATTCCCAATTGTGTCTCAATTATGTTAATTTATGGTATCATCACAAGGTATTAACATTTATTTTCCACTAGTTTTTATAGAGAAGAAAAATGCAATAAAAATGGAAACAGTTGAATAATCTGTGCAACAGAGACAAAAATGGAAATGTTGCTGAAAATGGAATTATTTGCTAACAGGCACTGCAACTATGCAACAGCATGAAAATGTTCCTTTGTTAGTTGACATATTAATTTCCCTGTCACCTGCCTTCTTTGCTGTGTTACTAGGCAGCTTTGATGGATTGCAATTCACAATTTTTTTGCAGTAGTCATTGGGAATTTGTTCAGTCCCTTCCTCAGCTCAGAGTGCCACCATATGCTCTCTGCAAAGAAAGGACCAAGAAAAGAACAACAAAGGCTTATCCATGGTTGTCAAAGACTGTTACTCCTCTCTATGCCACAGATGCAAAGCAGGGTGTTCTATAACTCAGTAAGGACTCACCTTGTGATTATAAGAATCTGCCACATAAAGTACATTCCTTTTCTTGTCCCAGGTTACTCCAAGTGGGTGTTGAAGCTTGGCATTGATTCCTACTCCATCAACATCACCAAAAGCAAATAAATTCTTTTTTTTTTTTAAAGAAAAAAAAAGCATATATTAAAATTTTTACAGTGTTACGGTATAGGGTATAAAGTAAAAAGATGACTATATATGCTAGTTAAGTTAAAGAGGAAATGGGTCTGATGTTTTTAAATGTTTATTTATTTTTAAGGGAGAGAGAGAAAGACATAGAATCTGAAGCAGGATCCAGGCTCTGAGATGTCAGCACAGAGCCCAACTCTTGGGCTCAAACCCAAAAACCACGATATCACGACCTGAGCTGAAGTTGGATGCGTAACCAACAGAGCCACCCAAGTGCCCCGAAAATGTGTCTGATTTCGCATAAATAGGCCTGGGTGTTTGATTTACACAAGAAAAAAAGAATGACAGGATTTTGAACCTATGTTAATTCGTGGTGCTTGGTCGTTTTATTCACAGTTATGATGCCTCCGGTCAGGAACAGGTCAAGTCTACTAATCTGGTGCCCCTTCCACCCTACTGCCAAATATCTAATTTATATTTTCCTCTGCTTTCGGTAATCAGTATTTTATCCTTCCTTTCTTCCTGAAGCCTGGACATTTGTGTAATCAAGCAGAGTCCACTAACTTTTCTTAGATGGTTTTGTTACTTGTGTTCCTTTATATTCACATTTCCTTTGGCCTGACTTCCACTTTAATTTATGGATAGGCCAAGAATGTTCTCTCCTAAAATTTATTAACTCTTCACAATTCAAAAACCACAAGCTTGGTAAGGGTCTGGGCACAGCGTGCAGCAGTGACTTTCAGGCATTACCATGGGGTCTCGTTCTCCTCCGACAAGGTGCTTCACCGCCCCATCTTTCAGGGAGACGGCTCTCACGGTACTGCTCTCACTGTCTGCTACAAACAGGCAGTGCCAGGGCTCTTCAGAGGCCAGAGAAAGACCAGAAGGTTGGGCAAAGGCTGCCTTGTGAGGATATGCATTATTTCGGTTCTCTTCGTTTCCACTTCCAGCAAACCGAAGGCAGGTTCCTTTTTTCAGCTCACTAAAAAAAAAGACAAGTTCATAGGTGGAATCAACATGGTTATGCTGTATCCAATTTAGTTAGCAAATGAATGTAAATGATGAAATCAGTGGTGATAAGCATTGTTGAAAAACAAACTAGTGATCCTGGCCTGAAGAGGCAGCTTTACTTTCATTGTAGTTTTTCTTTTTTGAGAGAGAGAGAGAGAGAGAGAGAAACAGAGAGACAGAGACAGAGCTCACAAGAGGGCGAGGGGCAGGGAGAGCGGGAGACCACGGATTCAAGCAGGCTCTGCACAGTCAGTGGAAAGCCTGATGTGGGCTCGAACTCACGAACCATGAGATTATGACTTGAACCGAAACCAAGAGTCAGATACTCAAACGACTGAGCCACCCAGGTGCTCCTTTCACTATAGTTTTTCTAAATCATTAACTTATTCACTGTGTAAGGACCTTTACTTTTTTAAGACACACACGAAATTGAAACTATTCTGAATGGCTAGATAGGAAATCCCTGACAAAATCATTGGCTAGTTTTGGGTTTTTTTCCCCTACACTTGGCCAGAGAGAGGTATAGCTAGATCCCACCTTCACTTTAATCAAATGTAAAATCAATTTCTTAACATACAATAGGAAATTTCTATTTAAGGCACTCTGCAAGGATTCTTTTTGTAATATGGAGAAAGTTTTACACTTTGGCTTCTAAGTTTATGCTGGAGGAACCGTAAGGAAGGCATGGTGGTGTGTTGAAGGAAGGAAAGAAGCTGGCTCAGGATGCAAAATAGTGAGACTACATGCACATCACCTCCAGATATGGCACAGCAGACAGAAGTCCAAAATGACCACCCATCACTTATTAGTTGATATGTTCCCAATGCTAAGTTAGAGAACAGGGGATAGAGGCAAAGGGTTACAGAATATATAAAATATGGTCACTTATTCAAGAAACTATTTAAAAAATATAGTCATAAAAATACATGGGATAACTAGCTGTGCCAATCAGATGAATTAAAAGGTAATTAATATGAGTCTTATTTCTATTGGAGTTTCCTTAAATAAAAAAGAGTGGGGAGAAAAAGTAACTTCTAAAATGTTAGGAGTCTTGCGCATTGGAAGATCAGTAATAAAGATAAAACATTAAAATTATGATACGGGCCCATGTGATCTGACTGGACATTTTCCTATTATGAACAAAAAGTGACAACTCTACTTATTTGGAAACTTGGTCCACTCTTGACCATCTAGGTCGAAAACAGCCATCACTTGGAACAGCGTATTCTGGCCATCTCTGCTACTTCTTTCTACTGTTCATAATGCGGCCTCCTATTAATGTTTCTGGTCACCTCACTGCTCAGGCTGCTATCATCTCATGCCCAGAGGTCAACCCAGCCCCCTCACTGTTATCTCTGTCCCTAGTTTCATCCCACTCCAAATGCTGCCAATGTTCTTTCAAAATCACAGACCTAATCATGTCACTTCCCAGCTTAAAACTTTCCATACAGGCATGCAGACTAATGTTCACACGTCTTAAAAGGACACACAAGGCACTTCATGATCTGGTTTTTACTCACATCACTGGTGTCATTTCTTGCCTGGATAACCTCTACTCTCCCTCACTCCTACTCCTCTCTCAGATTTTAGTTTAGCAGCTTCTTCCCGGAAGCCTTCCTCGATACCTCATATCTTACTGCTATCTGGTGTTCCTCTTATTTAAAGGACTGTTGCCATCCCTTTTACACACTCTACTGGCATTTCCCAACTATTTTCAGTTTGCTGATCTCTTTTTTCCTCTGTAAGCCCACTGAAGAGAGTAACATCAAAAAAAATTTATTCTTAATACAGTGAACCTATTTCATCCCTACTGATTAGCACAGTGCCTAGCATCCAACATGTTTAAAAAGTATGTAAGATGAATGAGTAAATGTTGCTAAATAGCACACACAGCAACACACGTGTGTGCACACACACACACACACACACACACACAATCTGGAGCAGCTGGTATGTATCTATACAACTGCTCCTTCCTACTGATAAAGGTATCTAAGATGATCAGCGCTTACTTTCCATGGTGATTAAACAGTCTTTATAGAGGCGCCTGGGTGGCTCAGTCAGTTGAGCATCTGACTTCGGCTCAGGTCATGATCTCATGGTTCATGGGTTCGAGCCCCATGTCAGGCTCTGTGCTGACAGCTAGCTCAGAGCCTGGAGCCTGTTTCAGATTCTGTACCTCCTTCTCTCTCTCTGACCCTCCCCTGCTCACGCTGTCTCTCTCTCTCAGAAATAAATAAAACATTAAAAAAAAAAAGTCTTTATGGTCTAGGACTTTCATTCATTCATTTATTCTGTAAAACCTTACCGAACTCCTATTATATACTACATCCTGTGCTATGTACAGAGGACACAGAAATGAAGGAGAAAGGGTCCCTTAAGGGACAGTCTAGTGGGAGGAAACAGTTATGTGAACAAGTACAACCAGGAACAGGGAGGGGGAGCGAGAGAGGGAAGGAACTTAGCACAGTAATGAAACTGCACTGGGGTGCGGTGAGGTCAGAGCGAATAGTATGCGTAGTTCTCTACCTGGAGTGTTAGTGAGAAAGGATATAAAAAAGTGTGCAGACACACTATTTTTTCATCTTTATATCCCCAACAGTGGCAGCAAAACTGCATTTACTGTATGTAAACCAAGCACTAGGCTGAGCTCTTCATAAATATTATTAATTTTCAAAACAAGCCAAGGAAGTTGATATACATAAGAACACAGAAGCATAGAAGGTTGAATGGGCTCTCCTAAGCCCAGAGAGACAAGTGGCAGAGCCAGGACTCAGTGTGAGGCCTGACTACAGAACGCGAGTGTTAACCTTCTGTCCCGCGGTCACGGGTTAATGTTTGTATCGACGAGCAGGGACACCTGACCTGCATGTCAGGAGATGAATGCCCAAAGCACCTGTGTTCTCTCTGGATGCTCCAGAGGGCCACTCTTCCCAGGTTCCTGGGAGTTAGCAATGGTGGTCACAAGCCTCAGGCTCATGAAATAGAAGTGACATATGTCACTCCCAAGTAGAAGCTTTAAGAGCCACTGAGGGACTCACCAGCTGTCTCTGTGCCAGGATGACTGGCAAAGCTCCAGACAGTGGCCGCTTCGTGGGCCTGGTGGCAGAGGGATGCTCCCCAGTGAGCCTACTGAGTGAGCCCGAAACACACCCGTCTTATGCTCCGACACCCTGGGATGTAGTTACGGGGGTCCAGCCAAGCGCCCGCGGACTAGCGCCGAGGCGCCATGAGGATGGAGACTCGGGAAGAGGGGATTCTGTGAACTCGTGTAGTTCACGTGAGAGAGAAACGGTCACTTACTTTTTCTTTGGTAGGCTGCCGCTGTCCAGGAGCAGTGCCCATATCTGGTGTGTCCCGGCCATGGCTATCCAGAGAATGTCATCTCTCTGGACCTCTGACCCTTTATAAGAACAAATAGTAATTATCACATACGTATCTCATTAATACAAAGGGGTTTAGAAATTTAAAAGATGACAGCAGTATGTTTATAAATCATCTGAGGGAAAAAATATTTGCAGTGTTTAAGTTGTTTTTGAAATTTTTCCATTTTCCTTATGAAAGGTTTCTTTCTTAATATTTATAAATTTACCTGTAAATTCACAGAAATCCAAAGTATTAATAGCAGTCTGTCCCTCTGAATCTCTGGGCACAATGTTTTTAAATATCTGATTTCTTATTTTCTCTGAAAAAATAAGTTGACATATACTCTCCAAAGAAACTCTGCCAAATACCTAGCATTAACCACTGAAATTATATGCGTTAATAACAAGGTTTTTGAACAATTTCTCATGAAAAAAAACCCCCTATCTTTTAACAGTGTAAAGAAATAGGTATTTCCTTTGGGTCACCTGGCTCAGTCCATGGAGCATGTGACTCTTCGTCTCAGGGTCATGAGTTCGAGTCCCAGTTGGCCATTGAGCCTACTTAAAAATATTTCCACCACCAGGTTAGCTAGACTTAGATACACAACACTTGCTATTTAAAAATCCATTGTTTAATTGGCTATGAGACTTTTTCAAAAAAGCACCGTTCACATACAAAAAAGCAAAGAGTAGCACATATTAGAATATAGATAGCTTTGCTTACTAAAATTCAGAAGTAATTTTCCACTTTCTTAGAGGATGTTATAACTTACTAAAATGTGACAAGGATCTGTTTCTCAAAGTCTATTGTTAACATATTTACTTTAATTCAGGGGTGTTTGGCTGGCTCAGTTGGTAGAGGATGCACCTCCTGATCCCAGTCATGAGTTCAAGCCCCACATTGTTGGGTATGAAGCCTACTCTAAAAAATATGTGTGTGTGTATACATATTTTACATACATATATAAAAATATATATGTGTGTGTATACACACACACACATATTTATTTAAACTGTATTCTGAGGTGACTTTTACATATAATTGAGAATTTTTAACTAAAACAATTTGGTCAGATATACCTTATGCTAAAAGGAGTATCTTGGTATGGTAAGGCTATTTTTTTTTTTTTTGTATCTTCTTTAACTTCAAGTAGTTTGTGTCCAGAGGTACTTTTCTTCCTTAACTTCTATTACTTTCAATTTAACAACAACAAAAATAATGATGATGGTTCTCAAAAACTTGTGGTTGCTATGTGCCAAGCACTTTACAGAGATTATCACTTACATTTTCTGAAACACCCCAAGGTAGTGTTATTAGGCCCTTTTCATAGATGAAGAAACTGAGGCTTAGAGAGGTTAGGTAACTTGCCAGGATCACAGTGCTGGTAAATGAACTGGAATCTGACACCAGGAGGTCCAAGAGAAAAATCTAGATCACATGTTGCCTCTTTTTCTGTGTTCTTAATTGCTATCCTACAAAATCTAAAGGAAAGTATTTTAATTTAATTTTTCATAGTCAAATATTTTTATGAATGTAAATTATATTAAAAGTGACAAGGGCATCCATTTATTCTGGGGACTCTGTCTCTGCTTAATCACCTTAAAAGTAGATCAAAAGCTTTTCATAATTATTTTATTTTGCTCCTGCCATGTGAGGACAAAGTGCAAAGGCGACCATCTACAAGCCAGAAGAGAGCTCTCACCAGAGACCAACCATGCTGGCACCTTGACCTTGGATCTCTAGCCTCCAGAACTGTGAGAAAATAAATTGTTGTTTAAGCCACCCATCCGTGGGACTTTGTTATGGCAGCCTGAGGTGACTAAGACATTCCCCCTGAGAACAGCAATGAGACAAGGATATCTGCTATCAACAGTTTTATTTAGCATCATATGAAGGTCCTAATTTGTGCAATAAGAAGCACAAAGCATAAAGAATAGACACAAAACTGTAATCATTAGAAGATGACATGCTGTTAAAGCCTCTACCCGGCCAAAAGAGAGCTGTGTTGATATACAGCTGAGTCAAAGACCCAACCAGTTCTCCAAATTGACCGGCCTAGTTCAACCAGCGCTTACTGTATGAAGGCCAAGCTTCATAGCATTAAAGTGTGAACAATTTGTTTGGTTTTGCTCTCTGTGTACTTATTTCCTTTAGAAGCCTGAGAAACAAGAAAAATTATAGAAGCAAAGGCTGTGTCAGTTCAGGATTTCAGTGTCTTGGGATTCCCCATAACAACTGATGATGACAGCTGGGGGCTACAGGGGTGGTAAAAATGATGGCCATCCAGAACACTTCCTATGATTAAGGCACTGAGTTAAATTAGCACATTTCAGGGAGTATTCCTTTAATTTAACAACTTTAGAAAGTCTTAGTCTCATCATCTCCATTTTATAAAGAAACTGAAATTGGAAAGGGTGAAGTAATTTGTTAAAATTCACACACCTAAACCTGGAATAATAAAATAATAATCTATTAGTGAGCCTGATTCCAGATTATTAGTGCTCTGATCAGAACAAAGAACTACAGAAGTGAGCCTGAGCTCTTTTGACCAACTCTCCTTCCTCCCCCTTCTGCCTCTACCGCATGCACTTAGCCCTGGCTTCAAGGACCCAAGAACATTTTCTGTGTGATCGAGAGCGAGATCCGATCAAATGTAAGCATGGCTCTCTACTCCAGCATGTGTGCCTAGGTTCACTCTTTCTATCCTTCCCTTCCTGCAGCCTGTGGGATAACCTACGGCTGAAAAATCCTTTACCAGTATTTTTTCCAATCCCGTGCCTTTCCATTTTTGGTTTGTTTCAGCTTATCAGCAGCTCTTTGTGACTTTAGGATGAAGCTCCATCTTATAACAAATACTCTAGAAGTATTTGTTAGGCACCGCTTTCTATGTGCCAAGCACTGTTCGAAATGCATCACATAGTAATACTCCTAATAATTCCTGCAATAAACTTTTGAGCTATATACTATTAGTATCTTTAATTTAGATGAGGAAACAGAGGCATAAAGAGGCCAGATAACTTGTCCAAAGTCATATAACTACTAAGATGTAAACTAATTAGAACCCAAGCGGTCTGGCTTCAGTCCATGCTACACTGCCTCTCAGGAAGTTTTTATGCTGGCCTTATCATTTCACTGAGGGCTGAAGAGTTTGTTCTTACAGATAAAATCAGAAAGGATGGAAGGGTAGGGAAGGGAGAGAAAAGGTAGTCTGGCATTTATAAAGTCTATCAAACCAACAAGAATCATTAATAATTTATACTATTCACCCTCGATTTTGAAATCTAAAGCACATAGTTGTAGCACCAAGTATAGGTATTCGTTTTTTCCCTTCTAACAAGAATGTGGTGATCATGAACATTTCAATTTTAAATTAAGAATGCACTTAGTATTACTGACCTCCAACAGACACACAAAAAAAGAAGAAGAAGAAAGACCATGCAAAAAACTGAAAAAGTTTTGGGAGTATTTTAAAAGACAAAACCTCTTATAACTAAGAATTAGTGAAATAATTATAGAAGACGGGAATAAAATCAGCAAATGAAATATGAAAATGAAAATTACCTGCCATCTAGCTTTTAAAAATTCAATGTTATTTTAAGCAACTATAATCAAAAATAGACCCAATGATTAGAGCCCTCTAAATAGCACCTGTGAAATTATCCATCAGTGTAAATAGGCTTTTTTTTTTACACGATGTCTAAACCTCCTATGAAGCAAAACCTCACACCACTAGGAGGAAGCAGCAGAACCTAGCACCCCCCATAGCACAGGACAAAGCGAATTACAGCTGGAGGGAGGGCAGAAGAAAAAACCTCTCCACCTCTGGGGAGGGCGTCTGTAGCCAAAGGCCCCATACTGACACCAACACAGGGTCCCCACTGCTGAGGGAGAAGAAGAAAACTCAGAAGTTAGCTGCCCCAGAGAGAAGGAACAGGGACGGTGAAAAAGCTTCCCACCTCCTTTCATGGAGGCCCAGGCATACAGCGCGTCCCCAAGACTGAGGCTGACCAGGACAGAACTCCACCTTTGCCACAGTACAACCTGGCACAGAATAGCAAATGACAGGGGCACCTGGGGGGCTCAGTCGGTTAAGCGTCTGACTGGCTCAGGTCATGATTTCATGGTTCGTGGGTTCGAGCCCCGCGTCGGGCTCTGTGCTGACAGCCAGCTCAGAGCCTGGAGCCTGCTTCGGATTCTGTGTCTCCCACTGTCTCTGACCCTCCCCTGCTCACACTGCCTCTCTCTCTCTCTCTCTCTCAGAAATAAATAAAAAACATAAAAAGACAAAAAAAACCATGATACATAAGAATTGACGGGCAGAACATCAGAGTCTCACATATAACTAGCTAAAATCCCAGAAAGAAGCAAAAGGAGCAGAAAACACACATGAAGAGATGATAGGTGAGAATTTTTCCACCAATAGTGAAGGACACAAAACCACAGACTGGAGAATTCTAAGCAGGGTAACTCCTAGACTTATCAGTCAAACTGCTAAAAATCAAAGAAAATCTTGAAGGCAGGCAAAGGGAGGAAAAATACTTTAAATGTAAAGAAACTAGGAAAATAGTTAAGTTAGACCTCTTGTTTAAAACTATGTAAGTTATAAAACAATGGAATGACATCTTCAAAGTATCTAAAAAAAACACCTCAATCCAGACTTACACATGGAGTAAAAATTACCTTTCAAAAATAAGAGCTAAATACTTTCTCAGACACCTCACCCTCCAACATTCCCCTTAAAAAAATGGCCAGGAGAAATCAATGTCAGCAGACATGTGCCTCAAGAAATGTTACAGAAGTTCTCCAGACTAAAGCAGTATTATTCCAGAAGGACACGGGATTCTAAGAAAACAGTTTTGGGAGCAGTTTGGCAGTTTCTTATAAAACTACACATACACTTACCATATGACCCAGCAATTTCAATTCCTAAGCGTCTGCCGAAGAGAAAGAAATACATATGTCCACATAAAAACCCGTACACAAATGTTTATAGAGGCTTTCATCATAATTGCCGTAAACAAGAGATATCCAAAATGT